CCAGCCTACTCCCTGTTTCTGTCCCTGTCTCTTTCTCTTTTTCTCACTCTCTTGTGCTCACTGAGTCACACTTAAACTCTCTTCACACCCCCCCCCCCCCCCCCCCCCCCCCCCCTCCGTCTCTTCTCTCTTTTTAAAATGGTGAAAGCTGGGGATACATGTTGAAGCTATTGATTCGCTGCAGAAAAAAAAAAAAAATGCATCAATATTTGCGTCATTATGATGATGATGATAGTAGAACCCTGTTGCCATGGCGACTTGTTTTGGACATTGTGGCACACAGTATTGTGTACGTGTGTGTGTGTGGGGGGGGGCTTCAGACAGACAGGAAGACGTTAAAGCTAGGTAGGGGGGATACTGGTTGGACCTACCAGACACGTTAAAATGTTGTTCTCTATGTATTGTATTTTATTTTTATTTGCTGCTACACTGTGACGTGCCTATTTGACAAGGACATTTGGAGGTCATCTCGTCATTTCAGTCTTTATCGTCTTAACATACTTACCTGTGCACAAATACACACGCATGCATGCTGTTGTTAACAAAACACACACACTAAATAAACACACACACACACACACACACACACACACACACACACACATACACGCTTACTTTCATATTCACACATGTCCAAGGTTCAGAGTCGCGGGTATTTCCACTCAAGCAGTGGGATGCATAGTGTTTCCATGGAGATCTATTTTTAGCCACCTACAAAAAAAAAGGCCAACTGTTAAAATATGCCACCATGTTCCCTCTGACTGAAAAAAATAATCCTCTCATTCTGAAAGGATGGTGTAAAGTTTAAATTATTTTTTTCTTATTTGTCCCTGTCTTGTTTATTTGAAAAAAACAGGGCATTAGGTAGGTACCATTTGTCAAAGCAGATTCAAATCACTGATGTGTTTGACAGGTCAGCTCATTACTAGCTATAAATTACAGAGTAAGAACAGTGAAGAAGGGGAGGAGAGAAATTCAAAGTTTTATCTTTATCGAGTTTTAAAGAATGGCTGTAAATCTTTGGTTAAAAATACTTCACTTTATCATTCGGTAAAATAGTCGAACTATTTGTCAGTTGACAGGAAATAAATTGTCCAGAGTTGTCAGTTAATTCATACATGAAGAAAAATGCCAAATATTTGCTGGTTTTAGCTTCTCAGTGTGAGCATTAATTAGTGTGAGTAAGTGAGTTTTAATTCATCATATCCTACCTAAATATCTGAGATGAGAAAAGTAATCGACAGATGAATTGTTAGAGAAAACAGTCCTTAGTTGCAGCCCAAGTCCAATCGTATTTTTAATGATATAGTTTCTTATTATTGTTACATTAGAGTTTTCACTATCCCAAATTTCATGGGCAGTTTTTTAAAAAAGGATTTAAGAGCAGAGAGGCTCATCACATACTCAAGGGTAGCTTTCCTTGTCCCTGAACCCAGATGGCAAAAGAAGCCCATACTGATTATTTGTGGTATAGTCCTTTTCATGATTAAATCCATAATCATACATTTTCTAATGGGAATTGAAAATTCTAACTGTAGCCATCTAATGGTCACAATTAAATGTGGTTTATTATTAAGCATGCCTGCTTAATTAGCTAGTATTCAGTGGAAATTGACTGGAAATATGGAAGAGCGATTTGATGGCATGCAACCAAATTCATAAAAAAAGATTAAAACAGGATGCATTTCTGGTACAGTAAATGGCTGGGACTTAATCTGCTGAGTCACCAGGATGCCCACTGTTTGTTTTAAGTCCATCAGCTGACGATCTAAAAAGGAACTGCAATTTAACGCTAATGATAGTGCATCATCTCTCATCTCATATTTCATAAATGGACTAACTTTCCAAAAGGATTTTATTGTTTAAGCCTTCATTGAACAATTACAATGACCTTTGTTGAAATAAATTACCAATTAGACACAGTGGCGGAGGGTAACATTTACATTATATTATATTTACATTTATATTTAAGTACTGTTAAGTGCTGAATTTTGAGGTACTTGAGATACTTGAATATTTCCATTTTCTAGTTCATATTGTACTTTTTATTCAACTATATTTGTTTGATAAGTTCAGATACTAGTTACAAATTCACATTAATACAGTATAAAAAATAATAGACAAGTAAATGATGTGTTATTATAGCTTAAGAGTTGGTAAGACCTACTACTATCTGTTCATACTTCACTACTTGGTAATGAACTCTAGCACAAAGATTCCTTTGCAATCACTCTTAATCCTCTGTGAGGTTGTTGTGACTCATCGGTGTATCGCCACAGTTTTTCTGTCCTCTCGCTGCCTCCTCAAAATCTACTGCCAGAGCAGTTAGGTGGGCTGACAGTATTTAGCCTTCAATATTTCATAATCTGCCAAATGAATCCTGAGCAGCATTGCAGTCAGCGATCCAGGAAGGAATGATAATGTAGCGGAGGATTTTCCAGGAAGCAATGAGTATTTAATGATTAGGGAGATTGATTACAGCATAGCTCACATCTCAAGGGCATTAAATGTTAGAACACAGTTAAAACATTTAACAAGGTTAAATGTCATGCTGAACCGATGCACCATCTCATATTCAGTGGCACCTATCACGTGGCAGAGGTGGGTAGGAGTAGGCAGTATGTTGTATTTCACTGTGAAATGATTGCTGCCCTTATGCAGAACTGTGTATTTGCATGCTATAACTAGCTCTCCGGCCTCTGGGCAGATGCAAGAAATGTGGAGTAGGAGGATTAGCATATGTATTTGTTGTTTTTAAAAATTCTGGATGCAGTATTGGGGTTCTACACAAGCTGAATGTGGCCATGTATAAATATGTGCATCTGCACTTGTTTGTGCATACATGAGTGTGCCTTTTGTGTGTGCACATCTAACCAACTGGAACTGGCTAAAGCCTGATTATATGAGCTCTAGTTTTACCGTGTGATAGTGCAAGTAACTGTAGGCATACTTGGCCAGCCTTATTACACACAAAGCACGTGCATGCGGTCACGACTCACAGAACCATGCACACACACACACGTGTGCACACATAGACATGCTTGTGTGCTTTTGTGTGATGTGATGCAGGGTGCTGTGGAGATCAATGGAAGAGCATGCTAGGTCCTCTCACAGAGACAATTAAAAGAGAATGGATAATGAGGCTATTTATAGGCTGATCTATTTGTAACCAGGGCATTCTCCTACGTAGGAGCTGTGAATTGTTCTCTTCAAAGCATGCCCTCCTTCTGTCCTCTCCTTCTTCCTCTCTGTTGCTCTATGCACTTTTACATGTGAAATTAATCTCTTCTCTTTATTTCCTCTCATTTTTGCAGCATGTAAACAGTTGTCCTTCTCACAACAACTCTGTTATTCATCAGTTATTTTCTGCAGATGTTAAAAAGTCATCCGACACTCATGCATTCACATGTGAAACAGTGTCATGTAGCAGCGATGTTATCAGGTGCAATCCAGGGCCACTCCTGGGAGACCCAGTGACGCACCATGCATGACATAATGCTGTGGTAATGTCTGTGGTTGTGAGGGAGAGAGATACAGAGACGGTGAATGCACACTGCTTGTGTGTGCACTCAGCACCCAGATAATGGTACTACACTGAAAAGCAGCCAGATCGAAACCAATAATAGTAGCTTCATAGAAATCTTTTATTTATTATTTTACTAAAAATACATATATTTGCATTGCCATTAGTACACTTGATTCTACCTCCATAGCTTTTTGAAGGTATAAATAAATATAGTTTATCTATATCACATCAGTGCAGATTCTTATTGTAGCTGTAATAATTGCAATTTAATATATAAACATTTATTTATATAAAGTATAATATGCAAGGTGAGATATGCTCAATTTTAAAGCCAGTTGTGTAAGATTGGAATGCAGATGAAATATATCAAATGAGCCACAGTGCAATTATGTCAAATGAGGTTGTAATTTGATCTGATGCTTGATTTGCTGCTTTTCTCTATGTTATATTATAGGAAGTTGGATATCTTTTAGGTTTGGGACTGCTGATCACATAAAACACTTTAAAGATGTCTCCCTAGGCTCAGGGGAGTGCATTTTTCACTATTTCTGACATTTTATAGACTAAATGTTTAATTAGTTAATCAGAAACAGAATCAGCAATAATCAATATTATTTTGCAGCTGTAATAAAACAAATTTAATATGTGAACATGACTTAATATAAAGAAAAAAGTAATTTAGACAAAGTAGACTCCGCTTTAAGGTCCATTAGTAGTTAGTTGTATTTGAACGTAGACAAAAGATACAGGATCAACCACTCTGCACTACATTTAATCCATATTAAACATAATGTTGAATTCCAAATTCCAAATCATCGACTTAATGCATCGTTAAAGGAAAAATTAAAAAAAAGGACAATTGCACACAAAAAGCTACTGTGAACACTTTTCCGGGCCGTATTCTAAAAGAAAATTGTGCCTCGAGCCAGTATGAAGTTCTTCGTATAAAAGAGCCAAAGATATTTGTGTACAGTAGTTCATGGTCTATGAGGAGGTGGATGGGGTCAAACCACAAGGCCCTCGTCTCTTGAGCAGAATTATATAAGGAGAGCAGAGCCGTGGCCCACCGTGACTCAAACTGGTAATTAGAGATGGTTTGTGTGTGGTGTGAGCGTTAGGAAGAGAAAAGAAGAAAGCCTGAAAAATAAAAAAGGATTTCTTACAAAGCTGGCAGGAGATCAGTGCTTTTAGCAATAAAAAATGACTGCAGTTTCATTTGCAGTTTCCAGCTGTGCTTTTAAATACTTTGTGTGTGTGGGGATACAAATGGTAATTTTCAAATGTAGAGAAAAACAGTTTATTGTTTGTTACTTTAATGTTACCCCTTAATAAATACAATCTAAAACCCACTACAATACATAAGTAAGAAAATCCTACACACACAGTGATGGTACAGAATAGTGGTACAGTGATGCACTACACCATCAATAAATCTATAACTCTCTCAATCTCTGTCTGTGCCTTCCTCTCTCAGGTCTCTCAGGTGCCCAAGCTGACCTGGACAAGAGAAAAGAACTATTTGGTCAGAACCTGATACCTCCAAAGAAGCCAAAAACCTTCCTGCAGCTGGTATGGGAGGCGCTGCAGGATGTCACCCTGATCATCCTGGAGCTTGCTGCCCTGATCTCCCTTGGCCTCTCCTTCTACCACCCTCCCGGGGGGAGCAACGGAGAGAGTGAGTGAAGAAGCTCGTGACATCACTTCCTTTTAAAATGCTCGATCGTCATGCTTTTTGAGGTGTTAAGACAGGTGCACAAGCACAAACACACGCACAACAATAATCCCTGGTATCCCCACTATTGCTGAGGACAGCAAAGGGCTATAAATGCATTTGGCCCACTGACATCGCTTATTCTGACATTACTGACACTCGCTGACACACTTACACCTACATGTATGCACACTTTTTAATTGGTGCGGCAGGTCACAGTTGTTTGTGACCTGCCTCAAGAGATTAAGTGACTCATCGACCATAGAGGTAATTTTTGTGCGCGCGCGTGTGTGTGGTAAAACGTACCGGGAAGGTTAATGAAGTGTTGAGTAGAGAAATAACCTTGAGCTCCCAGTGCCCATACATCAGCCCTGTGAGCCATGAAACAGGAAATGAAGACAGAGACCATAACGAGGTGCTGAGTCAGCAACATCAGTCATTGCTCCCAGCATTATCACAGTAATGGAATTCAGCTACCCTGCCAAAGGGACCAGTCATCATTTTTAAAGGGTTTAAAAAAGGTTGAAATAAAAGAGAAAGAAGAAATAGTTATCGCCGTCCTACTTGCATGCGTAGTTAATCAAACCATTTCTTAGTTAATAATTTTTTTAGTTAATTGGTTAAGATTAAGATTGGGTTAATGATTGAGTAAACAAATTTTCTACTCAGTCAGCCAAATAGTTAGGTCGTAAAATTAAATTGGATTTATATTAGGGATGCACCAAAATGAAAATTCTTGGCTGAAGCCGAAACCGAATATAATGAAATGAACTCAGTGCTTCCCACAGACTATGGGGGGTGGGACCGGGACCCGAGAGGGTCTGGTAAAGGAAATTACATGTGTCCATTTACTTTTAATTGACATGTAATATGTTTTATACTTTCTGTCAATATAATCCAATTAATCTTATTTCCATAATGTAGAGACACCTTATTTTGAAAACCAGACGTTGTCACATATGTATCCTCGCGCTAAATTCATCAAGTCCAACCCAATTTGATAAATAATTTTGTATGTGGTTCTCGTGTAACATGAAGACTTCATAGCCTCTCTACAGGTAGAACTCTCATACTGCAACACTTGTCTTTATAAAGAGAGAAAAGGACAGGAGAAAGTCGCAAACTTGCCTGTCAGCTCGCACTGGTCTGTTTCAGTGGATCTACCATAAAGGCTTGAATACGTGTGCACTCCAAATTTAGGTGCGGCTAGCATAATTGTCTTCTCACAAACGAGTGATAGAAACACTCAAAGCGTGTCAGAACATTTGTTGACTTTTCTAAGAAGTCAGCCACAGATGGTGTGGATGCGCTAAAAGACAATTGAAAAAATGGCAATTTTTGCGTCTTTCTCTGACATTTTAAAATGCTTCCACACTGCCGACAATTGAATGTAATTGTTCGGTCAAATTTATTCAGTCTTTTGACGTATTAGGCCGAATACCGAAAGTGCTTTTATTTTCGCCCGATTAATTTCAGTGGTTGAACATTTGGGCCATCCCTAAATTTGATCATCAGTTATGACCAGTACTTTTTCCTTCTTAGTTTGCTTCCTTTTATTTGCATCTTTTTTTAGCTGCACCACTTTATGAATGAGCTCTCTGCATCACAGAAGAAAGACTAAAGGAATCATTATGCTAATAACTGCATCCAACTGCAGATATATAATCAAGCTTCCCTTTAACTTGAGGCAAAAAGATGTGCCAAATCTATGAATACATATGAATACAAAACAGCAGAGTGAGACAGAAAGAAATGAATGCATACCACTTTGAGTCACCTTATTCAGAAAAACACTACATGCATGTGTGTGTGTGTGTGTGTGTAACAGCTGATTTTTAGATGGGTTTTAATAGTGGTACTAAGAAACAAGAGCACAACCCAAAATCTTGAGTCCCGTAACAAAATAATAATGAAATATTGAGCAATAGTCCTTTGGAAGAAAAATGTTAATTAAAAACATCTACTTTTGAGTCTGTAAAACATTTATGCGCTTGGAATTTCTAAATAGCAAATATCACAGCATCTGTACACATGCATGCATACACAAGCAAACATTTCTCACTGCTGGTTTACTGTTTTGCTTATTAATAGGTCAAAAAAAGCTCAACGGTCCAGAAATAGAAGGTGGTGGGATGACTTAATTCTCATTTACATATGAAACAGCCTGACTGCAGTTGAATGAGGAGGCTCTTAATTGCGTCTGTATCAAACACACAACATGCAATAAAAAGCTTTGAAGCTTAGAGACAGTTATTTATTCATTTGCATGCCACCCAGTCGTAAAAGTTTCTCAGTCAGCCGCATTTGTTGGCACTTCAGCACCATGGACAGCTGCACGATTGTGTGTGTGTGTGTGTGTGTGTGTGTTTCTTTCATTAACACGTGTGAATACAAAGAGCTGGACAGTCAGCACGACGGACAGCTTTTATGCTGTACACTGTATAACTGTCAATGTGCTGCAATGACCAAGCAGGACAGGCTGAACTCATCCTATTTAATTGTTTACACTCACATTGTTTTGTGGATAATTTAATAGTTGTTGGTTTTTTTTAGTAAAATAAATAAACGGTAATGATTTGATAGCTTCTCTTAACACACATGTACCAGTCTGAATATGTTGCATTATCCTGAAGGAAGTAGATAACAAAACACAATTAACTGGAGACAATGTCCTTTGAAACAATATAACTTTTCTAGATAGATCAGTGGAACCCCCCCCCCACAATAAATACATACAAAATATTTAGCACATAATGTTAAATAAATTATTACATTTGAATGTTTATTTAAATATGTCTCTCTTTGTGCTAAAACCTAGATGAGATGAGTGCATGCATGAGTATGTGTGCACTGCTTCTTGGAATCTAGTTCTTGGTTAAATCAGACCCTGCATATATAATGTCTACACCACGGTGTCTGCATTAGTTCCCTTGTGAGCTGCAAGTGTTTTATAGTCCAAAGCAAATCACTACACTGGGGGCTTTTGAAGTCAGCTAGCCAGGAGTGTAGGGCACAATGGCTCCCAAGAGTATTACATGAAGCAGCACGAGGAGGACTGGGAATAGGCCTTGTTTCATTCCCAAATATACCCCAGTCTGTCAGTGCACAGCCAGTAGACTGTGGGGCATTCATCTGAAGAAGAGTAAATGAATGAAGAGGTAAGGAGAAGCGAATTCTCTGAAGGTCATTTCAGCCAGAGTTCATTTTATTTCAGATATGTCTTTTATTTTGCACATGTTGTGCATAGGCGAAGAAATTGCACATATGCATTGACACACACACACACACACACACACACACACACACACACACACAGACGCACACTTATTACACACACAGTCAGAGCTGTCTTGGTCCACAGCCTTCCAGTCCCCAGTGTTGGTGTGAGATTTGATTACATCCCTTTGTGTCTATTTTATTATGAAGGATTCATACTCTACATAAGTAACAAGCATATATACGTGTTTACGACATTTGTGAGTTGATATCCAGTGTGTCAACCAAATACTTTAGTCTGTATGCATGAATGAAAAAACATTGTGCTTGCATGGCATTCTCTATAATTCTCTTGTCACTGTTACCAAATTGCAGGCTGTGGTGCAGCGGCAGGTGGGGTAGAGGACGAAGGTGAGTCAGATGCCGGTTGGATTGAGGGCGCAGCTATCCTGTTGTCTGTGGTGTGTGTGGTGCTGGTGACGGCCTTCAACGACTGGTCGAAGGAGAAACAGTTCCGTGGGCTGCAGAGCCGCATCGAGCAGGAGCAGAAATTCCAGGTGGTCCGCGGTAGCCAGGTCATACAGCTGCCCGTGGCTGACATAGTGGTGGGGGATATTGCGCAGGTCAAATACGGTAGGTATAAGGTGATTGTCAACTGCACCAAAACACAGGCAAATATTAACAAACATCTTTTTAAAGTTATCAATGAAGCAGTGGATCTCCTAGATTAATCCACTTAGTTCCACGGTATGATTTCCACATTTTACCTATTTCTTTCTGGGAACAAGAAAGGTGTAACGTGCACCTTTTGTTTTCCCTTTACCATCTATCTTACATTTTAACGATTTCACATTCTTTTGTAACAAAGTATGCAGTTACGCTAACTCTCTGTTTTATCTATTTATGTTATTATATTTGACATATTGGCCTCCAACCAAGATTGTCTTTTCTTACTACTACAAAACTTTTTGTGTGCTTTATTTCAACAATGGCCTTCTTCTGGGACATGGTTGCTGACCAGAACTGACCAAACTTTCCAGCACATTTTGCTAAGTTTGATGTGTTTGGACACTGACTGCCTCGATTGGCTTATCCATTGTTCTGTACTTTTCATGGTTCAGTAGCTGAAAATAGACTTCCACCTCATTTCCAGAGGGGGATTAAAGTTATGAACTCCACCATTAGCAATTAAATATATTAAAACTAAGGTACAGTATGTTGTGAGATTAATTAACTGAAGAGCCATACATGGAGAAACATCCTCTCCCAGTGCCGTACCAAGAATATACTACAGTGATCGCAATCTGTCCTGCCTAACATTGGCTCAAACCCATGTTAAAACTTGAAGTTTATCTGAACTATTTTGTTGTGGAAGGCTATATTAGTGAATTCCAGATTTGTAAATAGATCCACTGCAGACAGCAACTCTGCCATTTCTGTTGTTGCAGGTGATCTGCTTCCTGCTGATGGAGTGTTGATCCAGGGTAATGACGTGAAGATTGATGAGTCATCACTGACCGGAGAGTCTGACCACGTCAAGAAGGCTGCAGACAAGGACCCCATGCTGTTGTCTGGTATGTCGCCGGTTGATGGATGGGTGTGTATGGCATGCCACAGGGATTATTTTCCTGCGTGTAATGTTGTGTAAAGGAGAACAGAACAGAAACAGAAGAGGGGACTCGACTTTGAGACTGAGGACTCTGTACTTCACCTTGTCAGTGTTCACCTCCTGTGTCAAAACAGCATTTTGAAGGTAGCAACTTCAAAAATCCCTTCATATAGAAAATAATATTGTGTATTATTGGTTGGTTGGTTTGTGACACCTCCTAGCCTCACAACTTTTTTTCAGCCACTGACTTCAAATGAATTACAGAATTAGAAACACTAAATGTTTTCATAATTATCAGAAGTTTGTATTATTATTTCAGGGCAGACATACAATGTTGCCTCAGAGAAATGTTTGTTGTTTTATATTGAGATTTGCCTGCCATTACTTATTATTAGTCGCGGTTTTGGTCTGGCCAGCTCCTTTTAAATAATCATTACCTCAGAAGGAAGAGAAAAAGTTAGTAATTTTAATCTGAATATCAATACAGGAGATACTGGTGACAGCCTGGATGAAACTGTTATCTGCTTTCCCTCTTTATTGGTTTAGTATTTGCTGCAGCAGAGACACTAGAATTTGCAGCTGTAGGCTTTTTACAATTGATGACTATCGCTGATAACAAAACGTGGGTTAATCTGATCTCACATCTCAGTATTTTTTCCTGAGGATAATCAGCTGTGTGCCTTTTTGCTGCCTTCTTTAATTAACCCTATATTCACCCATATCAACTTACTGTCCCAAAGGTTAATATTGTTCTGTGTGTGCATGCTATACATACTGTATACCTGTGCAAGTGTAGTGCAGCAGGTATTTGCACAGTGACACATTTTACTGCTTTTGACTTCCTACTCTAGGATTTAAAATTAAACAGAATGTGCTGACTTTTGGCTTTAATGGTGTTTGAGGTACTCTCTATAAGGTGAAGTGTTGGCATTGTAGCTCTTTTCACACATACAGTAGTCCCCCAATTCTCGGTCGCTGAACCAATTTAGAACCAAAGTGACCAGTAGGTTTTCTGAAGCAAACATCAGTCAATCAGATGTATAGTTACAATAAGAGTGAGCTGTTTTGATGTAGACTTTACTATGAAATAGGAACACGCTGTAAACCAATGAATACTTTCATTACCCCCAATGTACACAATCATGGCAGGGTCACAAAGAGCTTACACAGAAAATATATCTGATCTTGCTGTAATATATTTTAACACTCTGCTGGCCTTTCTCCAGGGACCCATGTGATGGAGGGGTCAGGGCGCATGGTGGTTACAGCTGTCGGTGTCAACTCACAGACTGGAATCATCTTCACCCTGCTGGGGGCCGGCCCAGAGGAAGAAGAAAAGAAAGAAAAGAAAGGTGCGATCTTTATATCATTAAAGTATCTTCTTTGCTCCGTAAGATTTTTCTGCATTTGCTTCAGGAGTGCTGAGGTAATTTTTTTGTCAGTGTTGATCAACAACATACTCTTGAAAAAGCTCATTTCATTAGCTTATGTCCTGAAATTCTAAGTGTGTATGCTCATTGCATAACATCAGTGTATTTAACTGTTCTCGTTATCAGAAGGGTTTTAAAAAGTAAACTCACAAATGAACAAAAGTCCACCTGTTTCACTCATGTGAGCTGTATGAACCTTTTGTAGTTATTTGTAGTACAGTACCTGACAGTAAGCCTCAATCATCCTTGATGAATGTGTGTAAATACTGGAAATGAAATGAGTATTGGTGGTACACTTGTGAGCTGCAGTGTGCAGGTTCTCTGGGTTCAGGTGCATTATTGTCCTTACTCTTTTATCCTTCCAAATTCATCTCGATGGAGGGGCAAAAGAAGATGGACACCAAAATACAGGTAGAGTATCCCCTTTCTCTGATCCCTGGGAGTGGTACTTGATCCTTTTGACATTTAACTCCTAATGTTCCCAATAAACCACCGTTATTCTTCACCCCTTTTCTGTAACCAAGCACCCTTGCCCCAATTTAATTCCTTACTTAAAAAGAGAAGCCTCATCATCACACTGCATCTTTTTAAGTGTTGATAAATGACACATTTCACACAGCATAAACCTCTCCCCTTATAACAGGTGCTGCACTCATCAAACTAACTAGCTTGCATTCAACATCGGTCCTGTTTCGTAGACCTATTGAATGCCATGAATAAACAAAGCCTGTCAGACTCATCTCATTTCTGTATTGCAGAATAGTGACATGAGAACGGCAGCCTTGCAGGTGTACAGCACATGTACTAGCAGTCAAGAGTAAAGTAGACAGTATAAGCTTTTGTAACATATTATTTTTACATTTACATATTTTACCATCAGTAGGGTTTTGTTACTTCAGACAGCTCTGTAGTTTCACTCCACCAGCTTTCACACATGGCATGCTACATGTTCTGAAGCATTATACAGAGTAACAGTAAAATACATTACCTCCTGTGGATAATACTTCTGATGTGAACACACAAATACTATTCCTTATTCTTGGTTTTGACCTGTAATTGTAGTACTTCAGCAGTATGCTTTTGATCAGGCTGTAGGCACTGTGGTAATATCCAGGTTTGATCAATATTACCATATTGACCAAACCAGGAAAGGTAATCCCACGTGTCTAATCAACCAAGAGACCAGGGAAGCAGTCGTTGACCTATGCCAATTCACTTTAAATTGCCGTTCACTGAAATGCTATCAATCAGTGTTATGCTAGTACATCTTGGATCGTCCTTGTATTTTTTGTTTTTTTTTAAAGTTACAGATTTAAAAAAAAAAAAAAAAAAGTTCACTGTATTAAGACTACATATGTACATAAAGTTAGGACTATCTGTAGGCAGCTAAGACTTTTTTAAAAGGTCACATTACCCAAATGTAGTATTATTCAGATGGATTTGCTGACAAAACACTGTTCATGATTGCAAATTCATCATTAGTTTGCAATAAAGTCACTGGGGTGTTATGTCATGAAGGAATGCAGTAGCTTTTAAATTCTATAAAGAAATGAAGTATATAATTGTGATAAAACTTTCTGTCTACTATAATGATTATGTTTTTACCAATGAACTCTAGACACAGAACCCAAAATTGTAGACCTTGTATTGAATTTCTTTTTCCACTAATCATAGTTTATGTCAAAATACATAAACAAATACTTGCAGGAGCCATGGAAGCTTTTGAAAACCATAACTATAACAGCAAAATTACCTTCTCACATTTACACTAGTAACTGGTTGGCACGTTTATTTCCCTGGCTAATACTTACATTTTGTTTACTTTGCAGTAAAGTTTGTTTTCAGATTGGCTTTGCAACACCCTTTATCTTATTTTCTTTCTGCTCTTCTGCTCAATTTATGATTTTTGTGATGCAAAAGATATTACATGAATAATATGGTTTAAATTAATAAAGTAACAAAAATGACAATAAATCCAGTATATGAAAAATGACATAACAATTGATATATTCAATATTGTTTGCCATAAATTCAAGATTATATACAGTGCATTCAGTATATTATCATGTGCAAAATCAACTTACAGTAGGTTTTTTTGTAGCTCTGGTTTCACATTATGTTATCTTGTTTTTCCATATGTTATGTTCAAATTTCATGTTTCATGCCTGTCCAATGTTACACTTTATTGTAAATTTATTTTGTAAATCTATTTGGTAAAACACATACATAACACACATTTGATCACATAAATAATTGACATTATAAATGTTTAATCCACACTGATTACAACACTAGACTTTAGTATTCACATACAATCTACATATGTTGAATCTCTTAAATGTGCTATAACCATGTTATTTCTGTTCATTGTCTTGTGTGTGCACGTGCGTTGGCGCGTGCGTGTGTTTTTGCTCATTCATGTTCGGCCTTCATTGTTACTGGCTAGACTCCTCCCATCCCCCTATCCACCCCATCGCAACTATAGCCACGGATGGGGCTGCAGGCATTAATGCCCATGGCAGTGCCAGCCTAATTAATGGTAGGTTGACAAAACCTCTGATCTCTGACCTCTTTCTGTCGTGACTTTTGACTCCTCCTACCTTCTCCATTCTCCACCTGCCTCCTATCATTGGAGCACACCTCCTGCTCTTCTCTACCTTTCCCCCCCCCCACAATTATGTCGGGCCCTTTTGTATCCATGCTATTAGTGCATGTCCTCTTTAGTTGTAGAAATGAGTCTTGTTTCTTTTTCTTCTCTTTAAACTATCTAAATATTAGGGCTGTTTGATGATAAGAAGTAGTGAACACCTTTTGAGCCTTTTTAGATTCATTCAGAAAGACTTTGTGAAGGATAACAAGGATATGTAACATTTGTGAAGTCTTACAACATTTGAAGTGGGTGTAAGTTAAGGAATAGTTCGAAATATACTCATTCCCTTTCTTGCTGAGAGTTGAGATGAGAAGATTGATACCAGTTCTCCTGGCCAAGAAATACACATGGCACATAAACCCACTTAGTGTCATTTTTACAATTTTAGTATAGACCAGACTAGAACAAATGAGTTATAATGTTTTAAGTAGTCAGCTTTAGAGGTGCTGGAAGGCAGATTTGGTTACTGTCGGACAGTGCCAGGCTACCTTTTTCTAGTCTTTATGCTCAGCTAAGCTAATACACTAATATTACCAAACAGGCATGAGAGTGGTGACAAGTTTCTCATCTAACTCTCGGCAAGGAAGTAAATAAAGACATTTCCCAAAAAGTAGAAATACGCCTTTAGACTGTGCTGTTATGCTATTGTGTTTTTGGCTGTGTAGTAAAAGAAGTATTATATTAATTATAATTTCTGACAGTAGACAAGACGGTAGCTGAAGAAGGTTACAATATCCTAGTGTAGTCAGATGTCCGCTCAGATCACTTAGTGCAAATCCTCCATTTCTGTGTTAGCTAGGCAAAATGCAAAACATAAACTTCATTCATTGTAGCACTGGATTCTCTCGCATTTTTGTCTCCTTGGAGAGCAGCCCCAAAAATATTTGCACTATTACAATGACCTTGTGCTGTGCTTGGCTGGAACAGAGCAATTTGTCATCTTCAGCTTTATTGTCACTCCAGGGAAGTGGCTAATGTGGAAGTGGAGAAACGAGCCATATACACATGCCAAGGATTCTGACAAAATCTGGTCTTCCAGCTCTACCTAAGTCATTTTCTCTGTGACATTTGAGTACGTAGCAGTGAAAGACAGACTATGTTCAATTTCTAGCCCGCCTACCACTGAGACAAACAGTGCCTATCTCTATAATTAAAGCCTGGGTAGATAATGGGATCAACACTGCAGTTTATAATAAATCCTTATAATTATTTTGTAAACACTGTGCATACAGTTGGTTTGAAAGCACTCTTGTCTTAACTTTTTGTTTTATGTTTCATCAGCTTGCAAAATGACGTATAATGTGTGTACTTCTGAGAATGCTCTTAGCAGCTCTATTACATTACCAGCAAGTTGCTTCTGTAATATAAAGCAATATTGTTTGTTTGAAAAGCATGTTTAAATTAAGCTCACTCCTTGTGTAAGCAGAATCAAACAACAAAATAAATTCACTGTCCCTGAACTTAGATTTCGATTTTCCTCCAGTTGTTCTTATGTAACTTCACCATGTGGGAGGCTTTTCCTTTAGGCTTTCTCTCTCTCTCTCTCTCTCTCTCTCTCTCTCTCTCTGTGTATTGTTCACATCTCCAGTCTGCTTCCCTCTAAGCTCTAAGTGTGTGATCTTGCATGTACTTTCTGAATTTTCTTCTTATGCATGCTGTCTTCTGTTCGTGTGTACTGTGTGTGGTGTACTCTGCCTCAGTGTCAGTGTTCAATGTAATACTGTATCTGCTCTATATGTCTTGATATCTCATTTTATACCCCGACGGCTTGACTTGTATTGTTGATAATATGTGTGGAATTACCTGTGCTCATAGTGTGAGTATGTCATCCAGAACAATATTTAAAGCACAGAAAACAGAAAGTGGGCAGTTTGTTTGTTTTTAAATATGATGTCCGAGGATTTATGTTTCAGACAGTATTAAGCATTTTTAATTACCTGATTATTTGCTTATGCAATAAAATAAAGTCTATTCCAACCTAATTTCCTCCCACAAGAAAATCTGCACTCTACAGTACATTTCTGTGATTAGTGTTAGAATAACTCTTGATTAAAGTTTTATTTTATTATCCCCTTGCCAGTAGCTGTAGCTTCTAGTTACATTACATCACTTACATATCACAAGCCTTTCTATGTGACTGTCACGGAGACGTTGTATTAAAAGTCATTTTCCTGTCTCCCTGTATGTCATTTTTGGTTCTCACTGTGTGTGTCGTCTCTGTGGTGATAACTTGTTGACTTGTCTGCTTTGGTTATTTTTGTTGTTATTGTCCTGTATGTCTCCATCATAGGTAAAATGCAAGATGGCAATATGGAGAGCAACCAGATTAAAGGTAACCAAAGCATATCTTTCACTCTCTCCTCCCCTCTTACTCTCCTCCCTCTCCTCCTCCTCCCACCTCTTCTCATTGTTTCCCTTCTACGGTGAGTGGCGTAAGCTCTTAGTCAAATGCAAGTTATTTATTTATTTCAGCCTATATTATTTTCTTTTTCTTTACTGTGCAGTGCAAATTCTACCACTGTCTAAGTAAATCACAGAGAATGTAAGTGTTTGACCCAGGTTTTACTTGCATTCATATTAGGTTAGATAACCCCTCCTCTTCATTCTGTCTACCACTGACATGTTGTCCCTGGTCTGTTGTTCTGTTGTTGTTCTTGTTGTGTTGTTGACTTGTTTTGTTCTCTGTGAGAGAACAGAAAACCTGTCCCTCAACTACTGTATCTGCTGCTTTATCTCCAAACACACCTAAAGCTGTCCTCTTGGTGCTCTCCCTAATTTATTCACCACACCTTTTTCCCCTTTCCACTGTTTGATAAAATTTGCCCCACACTATATGAAATATATTGTCTTGGTTTAAAGGGGATATTGTGACATTTTTCATGGTGTCCTTTAGGAGTGCAACTACAGTAATGCTTATTGTTTTATTAATTTTAATCAAATTAGTGTGAAAAGTGATTCAATTGCCAGTGCCAATGTCAATGTAAAACAGAACAAGAAAGCACATTTTGACATTTCAGGAGGTGTTATCAACAAATGTCTGATATTGTTTTTCTTGATGAATACATCTTTCACTAAAGATACATTTTCTTTAACTTAAGTATTTAAGTATTCATTGACTAATGCTTTACTACCAGGCGCTTGTCACGTGAACAGACGAATATTTTTTCAGCCATCTGAAAATTCGTGGCATCCTCACCACTTCATATTTGTTTTTCTTAACCATCAAGTCTTCAAGTCTGTCCACAAGTCTTAACTACCAAGTCTAAGCATTCATGTCATGTCAAACTATGTTTCCTGTCTCAAAACAAAAGCATGGCAAAAGGGAATAGCAGACACACTGTGAAAAACCCAAAAGGGCAAAAGGGTAAATGAAGACTCTTTACACCGTGGTACGATGGTTACAGTCTAGATCCGCATTGCTAGATTATTGGAGAAAAAGCTGCTTTTACGAGATGAACCTTTGTCCTCAGCGTGAATTAAGATCAAGTGTTTGATTTTGCTCAGACACTTTCTGGCTTGTGTCATGGGGGTGGAAAAACAAAATGCACAACACAGTATGAAAAATGTTCAACATTAAAATGTTTTTCGTGAGCATCAAACACATCCGTAATTGCTATTGGGAAACTGGGTTGAAATCATTCTTGGCAATGGGTTACATTAACAGAGAACCACTGGTGTGTGTGTGTGTGTGTGTGTGTGTGTGTGTGTGTGTGTGTGTGTGTGTGTGTGTGTGTGTGTGTGTGTGTGTGTGTGTATGTGTGTAATGTGCTACACTGTGTTTTTCCCCGTCACTTTCTGCAAAAATTATCTGTGAACATGACCTAGACCTTGGATGTAGGACCACTGAATTATTCTTGACTTACTCCAAATGTGTGTTTGTGATGAAAAGGTAGCGGCATCATGAATTTATAATTCCATACAGAAATGAGGTTCTTCTTGGTTTTAAATCTAAACTGTTTATATGTACCGGAAGCCCTGTAGCTAGTGTTACACCTGAGTATTGAAGTCTGGCCCCCCTGTTCCTCTTCGCTCCCTTAGTCTAATCTACACTTCTAACACTGCTGGTGTCTGTTTTTTTGTTGTTGTTTTATTGTGGTGTTTACAGTAAAGAAGCAGGATGGAGCAGCTGCCATGGAGATGCAGCCTCTAAAGAGTGCTGAAGGTGGAGAGGCCGACGAGAAAGAGAAGAAGAAGGTGTCTGCTCCGAAGAAAGAGAAGTCTGTGCTGCAAGGGAAGCTGACCAAACTGGCTGTCCAGATTGGCAAAGCAGGTACAGCAAATTGCACACGGACAAGTTTATCACTCACTCAGGCAGTTAAATCATGGACAACAAGTAATTAACCATCATCCTGTCCATCAAAGTAACAAGTTGCACTGATAAGACTCACCTCTCAATCAAAACACTAAAGTGTCTTAATTATATAACTGTAAGGCTACGTTAAGACTGCAGGCCTATGTGACACAATGCAGTTGCATTGTACAGCGCCAGAAACAGTAATAAAAAGAACAGAAAATTGTGAACACCCGTGAGAGGATAATGAAAAACGGGAGTCTCCCGTCAGCTAACTGGAGCTAACCTCTGTTGCTCCTTGTTTACTTCTGTAGCCTGCAACAGCATGTTATTCTTCTGTGCATGCGGGTCACTCTCAGGCCGTGGACAGTACATACTGGAGTCTGATATGGGCCACATTTAAACAGTAATGTGAACTGTCAAACAAAAAAAATTGGATCTGGGAAAAATATCGGAATTGAGCATTAGGGCCTGCAGTCTGAACGTAGCCTAAAAGAGCATGTTCACTTTATTTTTCTAAATGACCTGCCCTCTAGGTAAATGGTAAATGGACCCTCTAGCCACTCAAAGCACTTTACACTAGATTTCATATTCACCCCATTCACACACTGATGGCAGAGGCTGCCATGTAAAGGGCCAACTGCTCATCAGAAAGCGACTAATCATTCACACACAATTTGGGGTTCAGTATGCCCAAAGACACTTCGACATGCAGGCTGCGGAAAGCTAGGGATCAATTTGCTGATCTTCTGATTAGTGGGCAACCCGCCCTTCCTCTAAGCCACAGCTTTAGGGACTTGCTGAATCACTGTATTGGGAACAACTGAGACTGCATTATGCTGCTGTTACAACCCAGCTTGTTAAGGTAAGGCAGTAACAAGTGATTTGGGATTGAAATGAAGGTGGCAAAGGACAACTGAATTCTGGTTAAAGTCAAAGGTTTAATTAAATGAGTTGACTCAAGAAAACCCAACAAAAAGAGGCTATATAGGTGCTGACAACAAAAGGGAGAAACAAAAGAGGGTCTTGTCCAAAGACAGTTACTCTGCTCAAAAAACACTAAAGAACAAAAGGAGGTCAGCACCTATATGCTTTACAATAATGCAAAGTAAACAAACAAGCAATGCTCAAACAAAAGAGCGCCCAACACTTGGTGCGCTATCACACTATGTGATTTACAAAGGGGCGAACTGACTGAAGCCATTAAGACAGGCAACAGACAGAAACAGGAAATACAAACACTCTAGCTATTCACTATCTAACAGAGGCACACAACCAACAACAAGGCAAGGCTCAGTCGCCCTGAACTGTGGGCACACAACCTATTTGTAGTCCAGCAGGTGTTGATTGGAGAGTCCTGGTTGGCAGGGTCGGTCGAGTCACAGCCACACCAATCACAGACGCCAGAGAACAGCAACCAGGAAGTAGGCGGTCCCAGCCCCAGAGGAACCAATCCTCGACAGGGACTCACACAGCTGGGATTTGCATGACAGCCAGAAGCACTCAGGAACACAATTACTTTAAGGCAGCCAGTGGCGGCTGTAACACTGCTTGTTCACTTTTGCACACCATAATCAATTTATTGTAATGGTATTTATGGCAACGAGGAGTTGATGTCTAAAACACTTGTAGTGGGTCTCTACCAGCAAGCATTTTTAGTAACAGATGCCCACATGCCAATGTGGGTGTCCTCTCAGCAGCAGCATAGTAGGATTACTGTTGAACAAATGATAGCCATGAAAAGTACATACCTTAAATACTTTATGCAAAAATGCAACGGTTTTTGGACCAGTCTGGGGAAATTGGGATTCTTAAAACCAAAATCACAAAAATCCTGTATTGGAAGCTAAAAGAACCTGACTGCCAAGGCTTTCTTTCTTTAGTAAAAAGGTACAGGTTTCTCCTTTTTGGAGAATCTCTGAAAGGAGTCCTCCTTTTTACAGGGTGCCGTTACATCAGACTCTTGGCCTGATTGATGGAATGAGGACGTGGTGTCAGAACAATAAAATACCGTGGATGGATTAGCATATAAGCAGCACTCATATGGCCTTCCTGCGGGTCTGGCAGAAAGTCTTTGGACTTAATACACTTCAGGGCCTGTGACCCTCTAGCATGTGTTACTGTAGCTTTTCTCCTCTCTGTACTTATGGCTCATTAGGTTAAAACCCCAGATATATTTGAAACATATGTATAGTTTATTTGACTACATTGCATTTACACTGGATTTTAATGCATCCGCCTCTTAAAGCAAGTGTCACATGGTCTACTGTGTATAGCTGCACAAACACAGCCAAAAGATGTGTGACTGTGTATTATTTCCAATCCAAGCCTGCATATTTTCATGCCACCAAAGAGGAATGGTAAAGGTTTTAGAATGGAAGAAAGAGCGTTATTAAATGGTGGTTAGGGTCTGTCCAAATGTGTCCCTTGTAGAAATGACCACAGCTCACATAGGAGTGTACACTGAGTTAGGTACACACCTAGTTAAACCTAATGCAGTCTAAGACAACAGCCCTGCAATAACTCCTCCCTTCATGAAGGTTGCATCGTTTTGGATGAGTTCTGACTGGAGACTGATACATTTTGACTTGACAAACTTCTGGATACAAGGCAGAGCATTCATATAACTATATACCATGTGTTTGTTTACCCCTAAATGGACATGGTGTTGAATTTTTTCTTCTGCCATTGAAGACGAATTTCCATACATGGATCAATGGAGTGTCATGAATGCTCCACTCATACACTATCTTTTGACTATCAAGCACTCCCCCTCTGTACTGTAGTCAGTGTCCAATGACAACATTTTAGTATTTAAATACACTTTCATTATATAACCTTCTGTTGCTCAGCTGAAAACCTTTTTTTAATCTCTTTTCAGGTTTGCTCATGTCAGCCATCACAGTCATCATCCTGGTCCTGTTCTTTGCCATTGACAACTTTGTGATCCAGAAACGCCCTTGGTTGCCGGAGTGCACTCCCATCTACATCCAGTACTTTGTCAAGTTCTTCATCATTGGTGTGACTGTGTTGGTGGTGGCTGTGCCGGAGGGGCTGCCGCTGGCTGTCACCATCTCCCTGGCCTACTCTGTCAAGGTGAGGAAGAACTAACACATACAGTGCATAGAGTGAGGCACTGCTGTACTTGCTGTCTGTTTACACATTGTAAACATTTAGCACTGTGTCCATTTGTGCATTGTAAATCAATTCTTTATAAAATTTGCTGAGAAGATACATGTTTTGTTTTTTTAAGAGTGGGAAATTAGCCTGCATTTTTCACGTGCTTTGCAAACTTCTGAACCTCACACAGAGTGAATGGTTTACATGGTTACATAAGGAATGGGTGTAGGTAATGCTCACAGTGTAGCTTATTTGATTCACAGCAGCAAACAGAGAACAATTCTAATGAAGGCCACGTCCGGGAAAGCACATTTCTTTCTTTGACTGTTGCTGTGAATTAAATAAGCATTTCAACATACAATGTGAGTGTAAGCACCGGCCTTTTTGTATTTGTAGCCATTATAGCCAGTGAAGGTTAAGCAATTAAGTGCCTCATAAACTAATTCAGACATCAATCTAATAGTTCAAATGGTTTAAAGCTGTTTCAAATATGCATTGGAACGTAATGTGATCATCATGTTGTGTCCTACTAACAGAAAATGATGAAAGACAACAACCTGGTGCGTCACCTGGATGCTTGTGAAACGATGGGCAATGCCACAGCCATCTGCTCTGACAAGACAGGCACGCTAACCACCAACCGCATGACAGCTGTGCAGTGTTACGTTGGAGATGTGCACTACAAAGAAATCCCAGATCCTGGAGCTGTGCCACCCAAAACACTGGACCTTCTGGCCAATGCCATCTCCATTAACAGCGCCTATACCACCAAGATACTAGTAAGCCACCTGTTATTGTAGTCACTGTAGAAGTTACTTTGGAGGCCTTTCCTCCAGGGGTTTAACATGAATGTAAAGAAGGGGACACAATGTTACTGCATTTGACTACATTTACCTAACATATTCATTTATTTATCTCTTAAAAAATGGTAACCAAGTGTTTCATATGGAATTTGAAACCCCAATTTATCCCTTCCATTTTTATAGTGGACATCATATGTGGCACTCTCTGTGAACCCTTATCAGAATATTTCAGATATTCTATTTTACTAAAGCCTATTTAGTTAAGACTTAAATATCTTAGGCTGGCTGCAAAGATTTAAGCTTGCTCTGGGTGACAATGGCACCATACGACAAGAGTAGTGCTGAAACAGTGAGACAGTTCTGCTGTGCTTTCTTCTTGGCGCAGCAGGCAGCCTGTGTCCTTGGCTGCTGCTTTAGATTCATCAGGCATTCACTCAACTTGTCACCTTTAGAACAGTTGTGTCATTTTGTCTTATCTGATATTCAGAGCATAGCAGACTGTAATTGAATCCAATCCGTCTAAGTGCTTAGGATGATCTCTTGTTTACAGTGAGTGCAGCGAAGTGAGATTTTCTCTAAGCCAATTAGACCTGTATATAAAAATAGATAGATATATACATATATAGACATACTGACTCACATATAGACTGTTACATGTTCTAATCCTAGAATCTGAAACCTGTTAGCGCTGATATTCCTTCAACCCACAAGTCTAAACCTTATTTCCTTAATAAATCATTTGGAAAACCTTTCCGGACAGCAGAGATTGAAAGTAATAATTTTCCTGGCATGACCATATAAACTCACCTGCACACACACACCTTTTGTGCCTCTGTGTGTCATTATTCTTGTAAACCCCTGTGGAGTGTATACATTGATGGTTGACCAACTGACAAATGCCCTTATGGAACTTGCATGGGGAATGAGCTGAGCAGGCAGGACATCTGCGACAGAAGGATCCCACAGATTTCACTTCCTACCCCTCAAGGCACGATCACAGTCTTGGTAAAAACAGAGTGTTGGTCATTGGATTTCTAAGATGGAGAGCTACATATTTGTGTCTACTCTACTTTTAACTCTGGTTTCTTTGAAACACAGTAGATACATGTAGGCACTTCTGGCGTACAGAAAGCATAATTGTGTGGCTCCCAGGCTTTATATGCCAGATAGCACAGTGTTTTTTTTTATTTTATATTTTTAATTTCATGTTCACAGAGAGAGTACATATTTATTTATTTTTCATTCCTCAGCAATGTACATGGTGTATTTATTCACAATTAGCTCTACTTTCCCCTATGTTACTAAAGCAGGACCTTCAGCATGGACATGTCTCCACAGACGATGTTTTACTGTCACAGCCACATCAAATCTGACCGGACACCACACATGCTTTTCAATCTGCAGATAATATACAAATAGAGTCCTTTGCTTTACAGCTCCTTTTTTCTCCACTTGCCAAATACTGAATAGTGACCCTGCATTTGACCTGGACTTTCAGGCTGGGTTGTAGTCACAACCACTTACAGTAATTCTTGTTCAAGACAAGCCTCAAATTAAGTTAGATCAAGTACAAATAGGGGTTGAATCCAAGTCAAGACTAAAAGAGGTGAGACCAAGTTTAGAGTGAAACAAAACAGTGGCCATTCACTACCCGTGATATAATTTCAGTCAGTCAGTACAGCTGTTTTGGATTTAGAAAAGTCTGAAATGTGATGGGAAGAGGAAACAAGTGGTGCAGTTGTTGTAATATCAAATACTGTGTACTGTATGCTGAGAAGAAGTCCACTGAGTTTAAGAGGGGCAAAGGTTTTATATGTAAATGTGTCTAAATCTTGTATTATTTGTTAAAATCTTGATTACAACACTTAAGAAAAAACAATTATATTTGAAAGTAAATAGTCTTGCACAATGCACCAAGCTAACTATGAAGGGGAGCTACCTTTCCACAAAAACAATTACATGTCTGTCAATGTCTGGTTGTTACATGGCAAAGACAAACTGGAAAACAAACAAGAACAGGATATTTAAGCTTTTTGCATCTCGGTTGAGAACTGATTGAAATAAAAGACAGAGGTGGCCAAGAAAAGAGAGAGATTCTAGTAATATTGTCTGTAGCCACTTTGTTAAAATGGTGATTTAGTTTTGTTGATGGAGCTATGAGGTTGCTTCAGTTTGCCTTTTCCCAGAGCATTTCTTTACCAACACGTGCTACATTAAGATGTTATTCCTTTTGAAAAACCTGTAGTAATGCATTGCAGCATTACATCAGACTGTTGCACGTCCATGGCTGCTTAGCTCAACAGGCAGAGTGTAGCTTAGACTTGGTGGATTAAATGGCACATTTAGTCTGTTTTATAATCTCTTCAATCATAAAATAGGTCACCTCATGCAAGTAAAACTTCAAATGATATCAGGTTACATACCTGTACTGTTTGTTACTGTTACTGTTATCCACCAAGAGTGTGTACTGTGGCTTGCTAACCACTGATTACAATGCATTCATATACATACATCATTATACAGTACATACATCAGTTCATCAAGTATGCAGCACGTACATAAATAAATATAGTATGGAACACAAAACCTAGTACATAAATAGTAGGGTTAATAGTGCTGTACATGTTGGCCTGAATGTATTTATTTACTGAGAGTTTACTAAGTTACTCTTATTAGAATGAAGAAAAGGAACAAAGGGAAAGAAAGACAGATATAATTAAGGAGTGAAGTGAACTCAGAAAGCAGGATGCAAAAGGGCAATTTCTGAGGAATATTTAGTGCATCCCTCTCTCCCTCCCCCACCGCCTCCACTCCCTCAGCGCCACTCCAGCCCTGCAGTATGCTGGCTGTGGTGGTCTTATATAAGAGGCCAATCCTGTGGGATGCCAGGATGACTATGGAAGTCTTTGATGGCCACCACACAAAGGCACAAAGGCAAAGAGGCAGGCTCTGATATCCGTATCAGTCCCTCTACTGCCTCTCTTCCTTCATAATACAGCCAGTGGTATAGCTCTGCTTCTTCTGTCAGGACATACACACTCTAAAGTGGAGAAGCCTCACACACATTTACACAATGAATCCATGCGCACATACAGTACATGTCACACTATACATGGCGCATGCACATTGATACTGTATCCATGTGCACGCATACACTTATTCAGAGATTCTGAAAAGAATCCGTGTACACATGGCAAGTCAAACATTCTACACAGCAATTTGTGAAAGGCATTCAGTGACATTAATATACTGACGTCATTTCAAAGGAACATGCGTCATCGGCGGTGGCAAGAGCCTCATAGCAAACAGTCACCCCATAGAATTTGCTTTTATTATTTTACTTCAACTTTCACTTCACATTCTTAGTTTTTCATGTATGGGACATTTTAACATTATCTGTAAGATGACTGTGTATGAGGCTTAAAACTAGTGAGGTGCAGATGCAGTTACAAACAAATATCATACATCATAACACACATCTGTCTTATCAGACATGCTCACACTGCAGGAGGTGTATGTTCTCGCAGCACAGTGGCATGTGTTTAGCATGGCTGTGTGAGAGTGTCCTGGGAGCTCAGTCTCATGTTGCTTCAACCACCTGTTCAGGTCAATATTCCGGTCAGTGACTAGAAAGGTCGGTAATACACAAAGACCCAGAGAGAGAGAGAGAGAGAGAGAGAGAGATGGCTTCAGTTGTGAGAAATAGATATTTGGAGAAAGGGAGAGACAGTTTCAGTAGCTCGATATTTGGTAGAAAAGTTGATCCAGCTGAATGTGATGTTATGATGTACTACAAAATTCAGTTCATGTTAAATAAGAAAAAACTCAATTGGTCGCTCCACAACGAGCAATTTCTTGTTTGTAATTAAAATGAACTGCCTCATTTTTGTTCAGTAGTGAGTTGTGAGGTTCTGATTTAATTGGCTTTGGCTCACAGTGCTTTTGTCATATAGACATTGCATGCTTGTTTGCACAACATGGAGGAGAGATGAGAATGTCTCGGATGTCTTTAGCTTGAAGCACCCAGTGTCCCCATGGAACTGTTTTGGACCCTGGGAAGGAGGTAGAGGGACAGAATCAGTGGGAGAAGCAGAGACAAAGACATCTTCAGCAGAACTATGTCCTGTGTTCTGTGTTCAGCACTTGCTTACAACTTGACAGTGTTGCTGAGATGGCAGTGAGAGAGAAGTCGTCATCGCATTAGAATGACTTGCTTTGATGTTTCAGAGGCACAAAGCTTAATGGGTTCCCTGTGTTTCCCTCAAACATGGCATGATAGATATCATGCTTTCAGTGACTGTGTTTCTAGGCTTTCCAGTGTTCTTAATTTATTAAGATTTATTTAAAGAATTTGATGTCGGTGGAAGTAGAACTTAAATTCATAAGATTATTTTATTAAACATATAGAATACGATACCATTGCAAAGTAATTTTCTGTTGCCTTTTATAGACAGACATGGGTTGCTTCAGAATAACCAGTTAAACCTGCTCACCAGACTTTGCCTTATTTTACTCTACCCTAAAGTCAACTTAACTCTTGACTTATAATCGATGAAAGTGATTTTTGTGAAATAGTTCAAGGCAGAAAAAATGTTTACAGGCAATGTAATCTAAAATTGTGCCATTTCCATATCAAAAACATTTTTAAAACTGCACAAAATTATAGAATCTCAAAAAAAACAACAACAGTAGATTATTCTCACGCAAGATCAGGATGGCGGGGGAGTTTCTGTTTAATGTAAATTAAATAAAAATGCCACATACTGTAAATAATACAAACAACCTCAAAATCCTCACAGTAGTAAGTCCAGGTTGGTATGGAAATGTCTGAACTATGGTGTACAGCTTTAAAAGTAAAACAAATCCCAAAGCTATGAACTGTGTGTTGGGAGTCAGATGAGCTTTTAACCCCCTGACCTGTAAACAGGGCAGCCTCACCACCTTCAACTCAACATGTAACTGAGTAGTGCTGATGA